CTGGTGTTTGCGAGAATCGATGATAATATTGTTGCGTGGTCGTGTGTCTTAGAAGTTTAAGTTACAAGACGAATTTTTCGTTAATCGCCACTCAGACATTATTATCTAATACGGATATTTTTCGATGGTTGTTTTCATCAGAAACATTCCATTTAACATAATGGATAATTATTTCTCTACACGAATGATGGTACTGTTGTACAGTATCATGTTTCGTCGGTTATTGTGCTCGTTGCGACAAAACGTACGGATTTTCGGTTTTACGCGTTGTACACATTATCGTACAAAAGAACTATAAATTTCTGGGGGAAAAAAAAAAAAAAAAATAAAATAATAATAATAATAAATATGACCTTTTCAGGGTTACCCAAACACGGTGGGGTGCTCTAAAAATAAACGTGTATTGAAAACTGCTGCTACATTTCATTTTTTTTTTTTTTTTTTAATTTTCTGACAACACAATTGTATGATGTTATAGTGGTAATAACGATACGTCATCATCAAAATAATCGATGGAAAAAAGCGGAGGCGAATGCTTCTAACATAATAGTGTACGGACGGACACGACGGAATAATATATAGGTTCCGTTTCTGTCGTTTTGGTGACGGAACTTTTTTTTTTTTTTTTTTTTCTTATAAAAAACCGTCCTCGTCGATTCGCCAATAATTGTTATATCTAGGTATAAAAACCGACTATCAGAAATTTCTCTCGGCTACGATATTTTTTGATCGGAGAACGGCAATTTCTTCTGAAATCGCGTTACAAAGGACTGGCAAGAGAGAAAGATAAAAACGCACACATCTCAATAATAAAATATCTTATATATATATATAATAAAACAAATACATTTCTCGCTCGTCCACTCAGAATCTATAAAATCGGACGAAAGGTCCGTGACTCCGCGTCACGAATTCGATCGTTTATATAGCCGCAGTGACCTTAAAATATGTACGAGTTTTTAACACCGCCGCGCTGTCAAACGCATTCGCTATAGATATAATCATATCGATGATGAACCCTTCGACTTTCGAATGGGCGCCCATTTCTGACCTTACGATGACGATAATATCGATACATCGCTCGTGTATTACTATAACTGTTATTGATTAACACCGGGGAGAGGGGATGGGGGGGCGAAGAGTTACTATCACTCGGACGGTGTAATTTAATGTAATTCGATTATAGATATATAGCCAGGTACGTTAACGGCGGGAGGGGCAGGATTTGGTGGCGTCGCCTTTCGAATCAGAGTGAATTTAAAAATGAAACTGACATTTCTAATATTGATAATTTAGACGCGATAAAGGACCGTGTAGGGCAGCTGTCCGAAGCGCGTGCGCCGATTAACGGGAAAATGGCGTTTTCCCGATAGGAATTTGACACCGAGGAATTTATCGAATTCGAATAAAATTTAACATGGAATTTTCCAATTAAAATTGAATTAAAATAAATTGTCTACTATAAACGTCGCGCGTCGTTTCGAAAACGATCCGAAGCGATATGGCGTTGCACAGGGCATCTGTAGTGTACAGATATGTGTATACTCTATACATACAATTAACTAGATTGCTAACCATTTACAAGACGTACATTTTCATTCCACAATTTTATTCGTGGATTCTGAGCCTTATAATTACAATTTATACCGACATAACGGTTTTAACTGCGTGTAATATGATTATAAATCACGATCTTGGTCACCGCAGAAAAAATTGTAAGTAGACAGATACAACAGATAAGATAACATCTGCAGTGGTTAAAATGGGAAAAATTTCGAAGAGGGACTATGTTTAACGAAAATTGATAGGCGTTCCCTAAAACTAACTAAACCCCACTGAACTTTCAGAAATCCAATCACGGAGACATCCGACATTTTTTTTCTATCGAATATATTTGTCAATGAAAATTTTATACTCTTTGAGATAAATTGCAACGTCTCCATCCCTTTTTATATATTATCTTATACATATGTTTGCTCGGTAAAAAACTATGTCTGATTATGTATAATCTAATGGTCGTTAATGAATTTTTTTTTTTTGACATAACTAATTCGAGTTTCCGAAATTCCCCCGCATTACCCGTGGACGGGTAAATTTCACATTAAATAAGAAGAACGACTCCGCCTGTCTCTCTTTTAATCACCGATTACCATGGATACTATTATGTCCGTGGACGTGCTATTGTTTTCGGTGTGCTCGAATAGTGCCCATATATTTTGTTACCGAATCGGTTACACGCATGTGGTAACCTCGGCAATTATAAAGCATATGGTAATTCGTTATTTTTTTCAATAATAATGATAATGTTCGCATAACACGTCGACGCGAAGTGCCCGTATAAATGCATAATTATTATTAATAACATCATTGTTTTTTGATTTCGATGTACATAAAAAAAAATGTACATACGTTTATAAATTAGACCTTATTTGAATTTAGAGAAAAAAAAGATCGACCGATTGCATAGATAGCAGATTGCAGAAACGCGATTATTCAAGATGAACCGTGCATACCTGCCGTGCACCGAGTGTATAATATTATACAAACGTCTACACATATTTAGATGAATATGTATGCATACATATATTGTCTATGGTGGCTATTGTGCGAATAGGCCATGGGCCTCGAATCGAACGGCTGCCATGCGGCATAAACCAAAAGCGTTAGTGTGATTTGCGGTTAGAAATCTAGTTTATTGTGAACAATGTATTATGTCTAGGCACGACCTAGTGTGTTAAAAACGTTCAACGATAATTCGCTAGAGGAATAATATATAAGGTCATGCGTGTGTATTGGAAATCTCGAGGAAATCCGCGAGTTTTTTTTTTTTTTTGATAAAATCGAGGAAATCGAAAATCCGGTGTACCTATAACAATATAGAGGTATTGCAATAATGTTATTCGCTTCGCGTATTAACTACCCCGTAAAATAAATTGCGAATTTCTCTCCGATTTCATAATAATAATAACGGAAGTGTGCCGTGACGATGAATAGCGATTTGGCCGACCGAGAATCTTTGCTTATTTTGTCTTTTTTTACCCCTCCCGTATCCCTTAAATAAGTTTGTTGGACGCACTCTGTATTCACCAGGCTTATATACACTAACGTATATATATATATATATATATATATTGGTCGTGACCTTAACGAATAAAATACTCGTGTTTTTCGTGTAGAGTAAAAAAAAACTTTCGCGTCAGTGGCGCCGGAGATAAGCGGCAATGACCGTAAATAATTCTCTCTCTCTCTCTCTCTCTCTCCTCATCTCAATATATGTTACTCTATAGGTATCTCTCTATCATTCTATCTCTTTTTCTTTACTCGTGACGACTGACGAACACCCGTGAAAGTCCCCTTGAAACTAAAACGCGGCCGTTTTAGGTCGTTTGCTCCTCGTACAAAACAGTATAATATAATATTATTCTTTTTTTATTTTTTTATTTTTTTTTTTTACTTATTATACACAAACGAAACAACCAAGGTTCATCGGAATACATACATATTACATACATTGTATATTATAATATGTGTGTTCGGGTGAAAGGGTTACGACAGGATTTTACTTCTTTTCTTCGTATCTCGTACAAAACCGTAAAAAATACAAAATATAAATTCTCTGACGTTTTGTTGAGCGCGGTCGTGTGTAACGCCACCGCCGCCACCACCGGGACCTTTTCGAATGACTGCAGTAAAAAAAAAAATAATAATAATAAAAATAATCCATTATTATGTAAATGTTTCCGTTTTGTCTACGGTTTCCCCAACATTATACGGAAAATGGAATATGAAAAAATGATCTCCCTAATGAATTAAAATTTGAAACGCAAATATTGTTATCAGAAATCACCTCTGATAGTTCATACGGATAGACAAAAAAAACATATGAGCATCAGAGCCAATTCTATTTATATATTATACACATTTTAACCAAATTACTTACTTTCATGAGTCTGTGAGAATATTTAAAATCCGCGGATAGTTTGCTTTAAACACATGAAATCTGAGTATAAAAATGGTTGGGGACTGGGGAGAGGGTTTAAATTCGAAACCAATAAAAAGCGTATTCTTGATATTTCAGCATGCTTATAGAAAATGTCATCACTTAGTTTGATTTTAAGGGTGTGTAATGAATGAAATGCTAAAAAAAATAACTACCCAGCTACCGGAACAACATGGTGAAGTTTATATTGAAATTTAAACAACATGTTATCACTTCCAATACACCTATATATTAAAAAAAAATTCCAAATCTCGATTTCGAACTTTTTTGGTCAAGAGGGAACTGCTATACATGCGTCGAAATATACATGTATAAATATTTAAATCGCTATAATATCTAAGATTATACAATTCTTCTATGATACATCTCTATGTTATGAGTTATTAGATGTCTTCATTACATTGATCGAACATTTTTATTCTATAGGTACCACTATTTCGTTAATTTAACATAATTATTTATGTTATCCACTACATTTCTGAAAAATTTTTTAGGATATTGAATTACGTATTTTTTTTTTTTTTTAGTAACGATTTAAAAATATAACATGATCTACTCCCTTGGTTAAATGGAACGGTCCAGTAGGGTAATATTTTGCTTAGATACTGTGAATTCAATAAAAAATTATCGGTAAACGGCTGAACTAGTAAACGATGTAATAAAACATTATATTACCTAGGCAATTCTCTCACTGGGGGGGAAGGGCGGGGATAACTAGAGAAAGTCCAAAAGTCAAGGAAGAGGTTTGGTCCATATGCTCACGCGTAGAAGTGGTTAAAGAAGGTGGAGGTGTCCACTTGGACATGCATTGGATATTCACTAAAAAACGCACTGCCACTGTTCTATATTTTTTTTTTTTTTTTTTAAGGTAAATGTTTATAATTTATGTAGTTAGGTAGGTAGGTATACTATATTGCTACAGTTATTAACAGCACATTAAAATAATAGTTGTTTGTAAATACCTATTTGGTCAACATTATTATTCAAAACAAATTTTAACATGGACAATTTGGAATGTTCCGACGAGACGGCTGTTGCGGCTCACCAGAGGTAAATATTTTAACCTAGTGGAGATTTTTTTTTAAAGAATACGTGATTGATGGTACAATATTTTGTCTTTTTCTGCTAACGGTATCCCCCACGATAACTAAATCAAATTTAAAACCAAACAACCGACGAAATATTTATTTCCGTTTCCTAATATAACTACACACAGCAATGAGCAGAACCCAAATCAAATAGACAATGCGTGGAAAAACATTTTCGACACTCTGGACAGGAAAATATTGGAGAGTGACGGTGTCGATGCGACTGTGACGCACGAACAAGTGCAGGAAAATAATAACGACAATAACACTGCAATAGTATCGTCACATCCGGCGATCGAATTTGTACCGTCGCACAATTATCGTTTAGTCGAGGATTCGGTCGGAGTTGATCACACCGAGGACAGCGCGATAACCGTGGAATCGATTATGGAAAGAGAAAACCATTTGTTCAAAGAACTGTCGACGGTCGAACACTCGGCGCTTAATTATTTTAAAAACTACTGGACAAACTTCGATAAAAAGTCAAAAACTGCGGCAGCGTCGTCGACGGTGCTTTCAAAACCGACCGAGAGCGTCTCGGAAATCATTAAAAACGGTAAACGATACGGATTTTAATATTAAAAACGAACAAATAACGACGATAACCCTGTGTCCCCATGATAGTACGGAGTAATCCATTTATGGCTATACTTAACGGCTATATTTAGTGGTTGTACTCTATTACATTGGAAATGCATCGATTTTTTCTTGGAACAAATTTGTTTGAAAATTTAAGAAACAAGTAGCTCTAAAATGTTGCATAAATATTTATTTTTTTTGGTTTTTGTATTTTTTGTGTGTGAATCAAATGTTCTGGATTTTTAAATGGCAACCAATATTGAAAACTCCATAAATTACACGGAGAATTAGTGTGAATACATTTAAGTGTTGACATTTTTTATTTCCCTCAACCCGTTAACAAGACAATTCCCTTTTAGTTTTGGATAGAGGGAGAGTAATGGAACACTATTAAAACGTCACAGCCGCGTCTCTGCAAATACGATGTTCCACTGTTCTCTCCCTACCCAAACCTAAAAGTAGAGTGATTTACCAATTCGCCCATTTTCAGTTGCTGACTCTCAATTCGCCGACAGTCAGATTCACCTCATTCTAATGAAATTAATCTTCATGCAAATTTACATCACTATAGTTACATCAAACAATATGAGTTATATTTCGCAAAAACAAGCCACCACAGCGGCCAGTTGACTTTTCAGCAAGGTATATATACCTAGCTGTATAATAACATGATGCCTACATTGATCGATTTCAATAATTGTGTGACAGGTATAGCGATATTAAAACTGGTTTGTTCGATAGTAGGTATAGTTCAACCGTATGGTTGTATAAATTGTCATGTCGATATTATCACCGTTGTCCGCGAATTGGGATTAATTTAAAAACCGTTAAAAACTGGTTTTACGATCGAAAAACCCGGTGTCGGCGAATCGGGAGTCGGCCAATTGGGTACAAATCAAAAGTAGAATATCTCGTCATCGGGTTCGGAAATCAAAAGTGGAGTTTCTAATATAGATTGCCATTTTCCCGCGAAAATAAATGCGAAAAATAATAATAATATTAATATAACAGTTTAAAAAAAAAGCTGCTTGTTTCTTTAATTGTGAAGAAAAAAAATCAATGCTTTTCGAAATATCCAGTGCAGCCGTTTAAATGGATACCATCAACTCCGTCACGTCTTGTGAGGCGAATGTTATTTAAACGATATTGTATCATATCGTACACGCATAACGTATTGTTTAGTCGAGGATACGATCGAAGCTGATTTCATCACCGCCGCGGACAGCACGATAACCAAATGCCCGTCCGTGGAATTGATTATGGAAAGAAAAGACAATTTGTTCAAAAAACTGTCGGAAATCGAACACAATATGATTAACTATTTTAAAAACTTCCGAACCAAAGTTAAAGTACATTCGGAACCTGCGGCAGCGACGACGGCGGTGGCGCTCACGGCAAAGACGGAGAGCGACCCGGAAATCGACATAGACAACGGTAAATGATACGTCTTTTGCAAACTATTACAAATATAACATGTACTGTGCTGATCGGAGGCATCCGGCTAGCCTTTTTCTCTCTCTCCAAACCCTGATCCAATAAAACTGATTCGTCTTCCTTACTCGCGAAAATTAATTTCCGCGTTCATCCGCACCGTACCCGTTCTTTAGTTGCCCCACGATCCGCCTCCCTCGTTCAGCAAAAACCTTTACATCGTTTTTGTTTCCATTGTTCGTGATCGTTTTGTTATTTTTTTTTTTTCGTACTTTACACTGCACGTACTATTGTACGTGTCTAACAGAGTAACAACTTGTAAATGTACTTCGTCCGTCGTTTTGGAAAATAAATACACAACGATTAATCGGGTACACAATATTGTGCAAATATTATGTTATACATTATAATTTAGGCAGTTATGTCGACGTCAATCCTGACAGAGCGCAGACAGTCGTGCAGGCGACATTCGAGTCTACCGAAAAAATCGCACCAGCGCTCGGGGGAGACTACGAAGGCGGCGACTGCTGCAACAGGAACCGTGGTAATAATTGGATCGGAAATAACGACGAATCCACGGCCTTATCGCCGTTAGGAATGAACGGTGGCCGCGACCACGATGACAACGGCGATGAAAAATATTGCAACGAGGAACGTTATTACACGGAATCGTCGGTTGACAGCTCGGAGCAGTTCGAGATGAGTAACGGTACTCCGATATCATACGCGATAAAACTGCATATTTATTATTGCATCTATATAGTGGCTTTTTATTAACAATAATTGAACCCGAATGTTCAAGTATTGTGACAGGCTAAACGTATAAAGTCTCGGGCTTGCTGTGATATTACAGTACGGTTTGTAACGCGAGATTGAAAATAGCCCAAATCAAATTCGTCTGTGTCATTAGGACGTACCGTATAGGTTAAATATTATAGTTCCGTATATTTTTTTCACCGTGTATTTGATTTAAACAAGTTCTCGAGATACCTGACAGTTTGTCAAAACAGTTTTGAAAATCTGGCATCGACAATGACGATACACATCGTTGTTTTAGTTTTATTTATTTTTTTTGTACTCCCGAGTTTTACCGTTTAGCCACAACGGAAAACCTTCGCCTTACACTACAACCTAAACATTTTACCGAGCTTCGCTTAAAATGATCTTTTGATTGTAATAATTATTAATTTATCGTTGTTTTTAGTATAGTACAAATTAGATTACTCTATACTCTATAATTGGCAAACGTCCCATCTACAACAAAGGCAGGCCTATCCGAGGAGCAAAATATGTCCGATAAATATATACCTAACTACAGCAACAACAACAGTTCACAATTAATATTATAATATTTTAAGTAACAAAAATTAAATCCACGAAATTTAACAACTCTCCTCGGTATGATCTATGATGGCCAGGATATCATATGGCTTGTTACCCAAGAGCTTGGTTTAGGCGCCAGATACCGGACTATAGTTTTTATACTTGAGTATTTGAAAAAAATAATAATATTAATAATAATAACACAAAGAGATAATTATATTAAATAAGAATTATATGAATTGATGACTGTAATATTGTCACCATAATTCATAGGGGAGAAGTATCTGGAGATAGATCTTCATCATTATTCGTTCAGTTCAACTGTTGAAAAACCGAATAAAAGAGATCACCATCAAAAAAGCAATTTCTATTACTATTTCGTTGACGACGACCAATACGAGTCAATGGATGAAGAACATCCGTGTAGCCAAAACCTTTGGAGACCGTTGGACAACTCGCGGGAGCAGTACGAGACTACTAACAAAACACGCAGAACCAGAAAACGTAGGTATTCAAGAATATACCTACCTAGCTTTTAATAAATTATGACAGCACAAAATTGTTAGGTACTGTAACTTTTAATAAATACGAGTAGCTGCAGTTACACAAGCGTTACCTAAAGCTGAATGATGTGTGGATTCTTGCTCCGCTACAATATCTAAACACTCAGCTATACTGTGCTATCGTAACCTATTCTATTCTAAGATCGAAATTTAGTGACTTATAAGTGTGCCATTGATAATGATCACAGGTACGAGGTATCAGCAGAAGGTAAATCATCGTAGCGACTACGTAGCGGACGATAATCACTGTAGTAACGAGTACACAAACAATAATGAAGACCGCGACCATTGGCACCATTCGCTTGACGACGGCGGCCGACAGTTGATTGATAAAAAACCGAAGAAATTAAAAAAATGCCGGAGGCTGACGAAAAACATTAATAAATAGATAAATGTATAAACCGTATACACCTGCGTAAATTGCAGATTCCGAAAGCGGTAATCTTGTACGAGATACTTACGTTTTTTTTTATTTTATTTTATACGACATTATTATATCAACGTAATAGATATAAATTTGTCTATAAACAAACTTTAAACGGTTGAATTTAAAGCGGTTGTTTTTAATTAGTTGTAAAAAAGTGATGTATAGGTATTTGAATTCGATAATATTATCTAAGGATATACGAACAACTATCGGTACGTTATGCTGTCTCCGTCCAATGCAGATGAGTGCGTGCACGTTAAAATGCATTACACGTGTAATTATACAATATGCGTGCAATGTAGCCAGCAATATGGCCGTCCAGCATCTTAACAACACGATATTAAAACGTGATACCAGGTATGCTGGTATTAAGGTGTTATTTTAATAGATTGTAAAATGTAAACTACTACAGTTACAAACAGTATGGCAGTGTTACATTTGCAAATTACAATTTACGGTCTTCAATGTTTTATAATTTTTTTCACGGGCAGTCGCCCGGAGGAAAACCGGGCCACAAGTAATGCACAAATATATTATAATATCGGAAATTCTGTGACTTTAAAAAAACGTCTCGTATACTCTTATAAAATATATAGGTACTCGTTAAATATGATTAATTGCGTTTTAAAAATGGAGCCGATACGAGTGTGTTGTCCCTGTTGTACGAGTAAGTGGGAAGTTGGAAAGTTAAGATAGTTACACGGCGTTATTTAATTTATATCTGTGTGTACACCAATGAATCGTTGTTTAACGAAAAACGATTCTGAACGAAGATCGATTGAACATTATATTATTTTGCTTGGTTTTTTGTTTTTTTGAATTCAACTTTTTCCAATCGACGCAACGGCGCAATCGGGCGAAAACAATTATTTTTATATATTATTATTGTGGTTGACCCGGAAATAAAATCGATCGAATTGAATACCTATATACACTCCGGAGTCAATACTATACATATTGACGCGACCGTCTGTTGATGGATATTCTCCAGTCGAAAAGTTTACTTTTTCGCTGCTGGTGCGATTTTGATTGACTGGTGTTCGTAATTTTTTGACGGCACCGTGACACACGATATGCTGAACTACAGAATACAGATTAATGTACTGGACTGCTATATAACCAGTGACATTTAAGAGTCAAATATTTACCGGCCCGCTATTTGTGTAGGAATAGTGTGTGAGATAAAAGCGATACGTCACAAAATATTACGCCGTTTCATGTACATACTTTATTAATATTTGACAATCCTCACAACAATGGTGGAAAATGGTTTCAGCGATATAGTATTAAAGTACACAGTAGGTAATGTCATCTGACAATTGCAGGGTATATTTTATATGACAGTAATCTGGTGTAACATACCTTTATCTGCGTAATGCACTGAGATTTGTCCCAGTCAGATTTTCAACAATATTACAAGCGTATTTCAGCAATGCACTAGTATATTCTTCTCTGATTTCTATAAAACCATTCCGTCTCACTGCACCCAATCCCCAGTCCTTCACTGTCCGCTGCTTTTTCTTTCAAGTTCGAACGTCCACCAAATCATTTCACGTCATTTCCGATAGCAATATCTATCATCTCGTTCCGGGTCATATTCAAGGTCCGATTAAACAAGAAGTCTAGGGGCCCGAACTCCCGGCCCTGAAATTTTGAAACCCCGTAGGGTCCTTTTTGTTCCGAAAACGAATTCGTAATTATATTTATTGAACATCTGTAAATCGAAATTTTATTTTTATAATACGGTTTATGTTTATGTGGTTCGAATCCTCGATAACAATATTTTTATAACATTTACATCTTTAACTTTTATTATAGGTCTTATTAGCTGATATTAGCCTATTAGCTACAAAAAATAAAACTCAAAAAACTAGATTTAGTAATTTGGTTACAAAATATCGTACTTATATATTTACATTTAAAAAAAAACAATATTATTGTATACAGTGAAAAATTACTGTCATAATAACAGGTACCTAACATGTTAAACATTTTGAAGACACTATTCTGTGCAATCGATATTTTATTTGTATCATTTTTTAAAAGATGTCAAACTCGGATAAAATTGATTTACTGGTCATAAATAATGTAATGGACCTTTTGACTATCAGACTCGAGGCCCGGTAAACTCTCAACTCGGCCATGGTCTTATCATTCATATAGTGGTATTTTCCGTGGGTTCTGAAATTCCATCGCCGCTTTCGTTCTCCTCATTATCTCCCCTCGGACGGGATCCCGTTGTAATCGTCTCATCTCCCAAAGACCTCTACTGTTATACTCGTTCTTAAGTACGGAATAAGGCTCCTCTACGTAGCTCTGTATATTCATCGTCATTCTCCGCAGTCAACAATCTTTCTTCCTTTACGGTACACCGTAGTACACTAAATCGCGAAACAAACGGTTTAAACAAATACGGAGATTATATTTTTAACTGAACAAAACGGTTTTCCAACAACAGCCTTTAATGTACATACATATATATAGTTGTAAGTAGGTATTGGTATAGGTATAGCTAGTATATTCGCGGAACGAAATTATTATATTGAAAGCTCGTGGTTTTATTTTTTTCCCCCCATCATGTTTCGACCATATTTTGCAAATCGATTTCTACCCGCGGTACGATAATCACCAGCAACAGCTGCAGCGGACCGTAGAATATTAAATTGCATTCGCGTGTGTATAATACATAAAAGTCTGAGAAAAACCATCATTTGGACGTTAAAATCAAATTGCTGTTTGTTGTATACTTACTACCTCTGTAGGTACATATTTTCTCGGAGAAAACCGCTCCGAGGTCTCGTTTCGAGATTGGGTTATTTATTTCCAAATGTATAAAGAACATAAAATATTACCTATTTATTATAATTCTGCCGCGGGCCATCGAGGTCGACCGAGAAAATCCTGTAAATATTCGTTAAAATATTTTCAAGAATTTTTTATTAATTCATATTCATCCAAAACACTGGAAAATTCGTATGAGAAACTAGCTTTATTTCCTCCTATATAGTTGCTTAGGTTCCGGGCGTAGCGACCGAAATGCATTAAAAAAAGATACGGACATAGTACGCACGATGGGTGGGCCACTGTTGTAGGTGAAAAGTTGGGAAAATAGATGGGACATTCAATGTATATCTGTACGCGACGGTTAGATATTGTTAACGAAAAACGATTCTGAGCGAAACGAAATATCGTAATATTTCTCGCCAATAAAGGTTTCGTGCCATATAATTCATGCAGTTTTTGTACTGCGAGTTCACGGGAATGCAAAATACAGTAATATTTTATTTATTTTTTTGTTTTAAACTGAATTTTTTTTTTCAAGTATTTTTTAAATTATAAACAATTGTCTACGTTATAAACGCGTTTAAAACAGGATTTTATTATTTTTTGTAAATAACGTAATACTAATTAGTTGCATATAGAACTTGTCCGTTACTACTTCATCGAAATATTATAATAGGAACTGTTTATTTTCATTTACATTTTATGAATGAATAGTATAGAAACTATGTAAACATCTTCGATTTTCAGTACATATTAGCTAGATATTTTAATTTAATTTTTGAACCTTTTAAAACGCATTGCGACCCCACTGGCACCGTGTACGAGGGAGGGAGAAATCGTGTTTAGCGTGTTCCGTTACATCGCACAGTGGTACAGTGTTCATAGTTAACCGACCAACCGTTTGGAAAAAAAAAAAAAATAAATAATACAAAACAACAAATTATTATCATTGAAAAACGATAAAATTTGAATGTCAAATTCACAATTTCCAGCTAAATATTTGGTTTATGCGTCGGTTAGAGTTGGCTAAATAAGGCGTTTACACATTTTAATTTTTTGAACTATTCGACCTGTAATGTTATAGTGTCTATTTATTTTTTTAGCCGAGTAGAACATAGTTTGCTTTTCGAATGTTCTATACTATTGTTGTTAAACATTTAGTTTCTTTTTGTTGTTACCCAATATAATACTGCGACCGATATAAATAGTTTAGTTTTTTACATATTAGATATGCCGCACAAAGAGAAGCACTTTTACCGGATTGTCAATACAACAAACATACATTTTTTAGAGCGAATTATCAAATACGAAAATAGATGATTGTATCTGATCGGGACCGTATTGTAGTGGGCACAGTTTGTGCGCGCTACAGGCTCGACGAGATGCAAACAAGTCTAACCTAACGTAACCTTTTCTTTTCTCGTTTAAGAACTTGCTGTACAAGATGCGTGCATTCGATAACCCGGTCAATGCGCGTCCTCTTTTGTAGCGTATTTTAGAAGCGGAATACTAAACTATTTATATCGATATTGTAGTATTACACTTGGTAACAACAACAACGATAAAACGTATAAACGAAAATTCTCCGCGACTCAATATATTCGTAACGATAACACGCGGCCGGTATTATTTTTTTTTCGCAAACACGGGCCGGGCGTTAATAATTACCGGGCAATAAACTCCGTGTCGCGCACTCGATTCGCCNGAAAAATAAATAGACGATAGAGCGTAAACGTTCGATACGTCCTATTCAAACGTGTAACACGCATAATCTGGCCGGTGCATAAACCAAAATGCCATAGGTGCCAGTGTCCAATAATAATAATAATAATAACGATTTGCATTTTTTTTTCACAAACAGTTTTGGCCGGCTAAACACGAGTCCGCGCCGCCGTGCTTCCTGGGGCGAAAAAAACCGCGACCTAAACCGACCCGATAGAAAAAAAAAAAAAAAAATTCGCTTTCGTTTTTTTTTTCCCCCCGGTCCGCGGCGGGGAGCGCGTCGCGTCACTCTGCGGCGGCCGGTATTATTTTTATTTTCGCGAACACGGCCCGGGCGTTAATAATTACCGGGCAATAAACTCCGTGTCGCGCACTCGATTCGCCGTAAAAACGCGGCGATATTATCGCAACGACGCGCGCACGTCACGCGCTCCGCGAGTCGCTTTGACGTTGGG